TTACCGTCACTCTTATAGTATATATATAATGAGGGCTTTTACCTTATTATTAATGATAAAAATAACTAGCAACCTTGCAGTCACTGTATGTGACTGCCGTGACTTGTAAGCTATAAATAAATTTTGCATTATTAAATAATGACTTTTGTTAAATTGCACTGTACTTTCTTAAATATTGACGTTTTTAAAGATATAAGCTCATCCTGATGTTACACTCATCAAGACCTTCCATTTGAGTATCCACATGCATTTTGATATATTTTTCATATATTCATATATATAAATATATAAAATATATGAAAAATTGATGTGGCTACTCAAATTAAAGGTCTCGGTGAGTTTAACATCAGGATGAGCTTATATCTTTAAAAATGTTAATAGTTCACAAGATATCTGTTAAATTACACTGTACTCTCTTAACTATTGACGTTTTTAAATATATAAGCTCATCCCGATGTTACACTCATCAAGAGCTTTCATTTGAGTACCCACATGCATTTTTTCATATATTTATATATATTACATATATATAAATATATAAAATATATGAAAAATTGATGTGGGTACTCAAATGAAAGGTCTCGATGAGTGTTACATCGGGATGAGCTTATATCTTTAGAAATGTCAATATTTCACAAGATAAAAGGTCATTTTTTAATTAATTAATCCTAAATCTGTACAAGCTAGAAAAAAAAAAAAAAAAAAAAACAAATAATTGCAAAACCTGATATATGAAAAACTTTTCTTGGAAATAAAACTCTAACTTTAAAGGGAATACTGACAACTTATTGGTGTGGTTCTAAAATTGTCCATGTGATACTCAGCTCAAAAGATATTGATTATCAAAGCAAAGAACTGTAATTCCGTCTTTGACAACTAATCACTTTGAAATTTAATCGTATGCCAAGCTAGTATCAGCCAAATTGAAACAAAGAGACGGTACAAAGCTATCTAATAATTAAATTTTATTTTCTTCATTTATTGTGGATTCTTTGATTCCTGAATTATGTCAAGAGTACACACAAAGGTTTTATTTGAAAACTTTCTCTCATTGCTCTACTTTAAAGCATATAGATGACTGACTCATCGACAATAATAAATAACGAGAATGATTAATATTTAATTAGAAGCACAGTAGAATCGATGAGGTGTGTGCAGGAAACAAGAAATGAATAAATAAAATAGCAAATAGTGACACATGAACTGAAACGACTAGATAAACATCGGAATCTCTTTATTTTTTTATTACCTACGGAAATAAACCGGTCTCAGGAAAGAAACTTTTTTATAGAGAGGAAAAAATATTAACGTATTGATCAATTCAAGATTTTAGATTAGTCCAACCGTTGTTATTTTGGAGTAAATATTCTCAAGGTGGTAACCTACGATGATAATTTATGATTAATAACTAAAATTGAATTTTTCTTTGGAAAATTTTATTGGTTATAAATAATGGAACAATAAAAATACTTGATTCTGAATATTGTTTTCCGAACAAAGAAACTTATTTGAATTTATTTCTTTTATTCATTTTTCAAAGAAAAAATTTTATCTTTATTCAAAAAAATAATTTTCCCGAGCTTTGATCTGAAAAATTCTTAAACTAGAAATTTTTTCTTGGTTTAAGTAAATTTTATTTAATTCAAGAATTTTTTGTCGATTCGAGATAATTTTAGTACATTATTATTCCTTTAATTAAGTTGTTCTATATTATAAAAATCAACAAAAAAAAAATTCTTTTAAATTATTAAATTTGAAACTGAAAAAAAAAAAATATTCGTTAAAATTAAAGTATTTCACCTTTGTCTGAGTAATTAAACAGAAATAATTTTTTTATTAGAAAAATTGAACTTTTAGCATCAATACCATGAAAACGTCTTCTATATTATTGTATTGATTGACATATAAACCCTGATGAAAATATTTCTATCCACCAGGAAACATCCAAATTAATAAATCAATAATTTCTGGTAGAATTAAATTTCACGGAACTATAATAAAATTAATCTGTGTATGAAAAATATACCAGAGATACAATAGCTTTCCTCTCTTATAAGAGAATTAATGGATATTTGCAGCATACATATCATAACGTTCCGCCTCACATCGAGTTGAGTTTGAAATTTTTTGAATTATTCAGACATGATACTCGAAATATTACCCTGAATTCCGCCTCTAGCAGCAATAGAACAAAAACCAATTTTTGCCGGATTATTAGTGTCGAATATAAATAAAGCTAATTCGATTAAATGTTATGAGGTTTTTTGCTTGAACGGACGTAATAAAAGAAATTAAAATGTTGGTAGAGGTGAAATTTTATTTTGTATATAGATTTAAAAGCAAGATTGGGTCAGTATGATTTCGCTGTATATAATGAGAATATATCGTGTTGAAGTAACTAATGATGTGAAACATGCAACGTTTTGTAGAATTCAACACCCCGAAGACTGATTCAGTAGTATAATATATATGTAACACATATTGTTCACATACCTTCCTTATGTATAATAACTATACTGTGAAATAATTTGTTACAATATACGTGTGTGTCGACGTTGTTCGTTGTTCGTTGCTCCCGTTGGATTGAGATTTACTCGACAATATTATTCCAGAAATTAGTTGTACCCACATACACATTCATTACAAATCAAAATACGTTATATCATAATCAAGATAAAACAAACTTCGGGAGAAATTTCAGCTGTATATTTACTATTTATGTGAGCGAAGATTAAGAGATTATAAATTTCGTTATAATTACCGAAAAAAATAATTACCCAACTTTTACAGTAATATCAGATTTATAAATAAATAGAAACTCATTTTATTTAATCATTATTTTTTATTAAATATATAATCAACTAAAAATCGTATATAAATTAATTTTATTTATCAAATTTTAAATATCAAAAACAATATTAAGTTTTTTAGTTTCTTATTAAAAAAAAAAAAAATTTAATTATAAAGAATGAAAAGCAAATACTCGAGTTGCAACACAATATGAACTCACTAATAAAAATTGGTTGAACCACCCGATAATGGATTGATATAAATTTCTATTTCTATTTCTTAGCGTCTGCAATTTCTATAAAAATACTTTTAACCCCAATATCTTTTTCCAATGGCGTAACAAACTAAATGAATTACTACGTCAACCGATAGATATTACACAACTATACAATGTCATTTGGACAATATTTCAGTATTTATCACAAAACTATTTTTCTTCACTTTATATTTATTACAGCACGTCAACTTCAGCAACTTTGATCCCACCACGTAATCTGAACGCTCTAAAAACTTTATTTTTATCCTTTATCATTTTTGCTGTTGAATTTAATAAAATTTTATCGCTAGTTATCAAATTGTTAGTTGCAAGTTTCTGTTAAAAAATCATATAAAATTTTTAAAAGTGCATGATTCATAATTTTCATATAAAAATTAATTTTATTTAAAAATAGTCGCCGTGATGTCAAAAAAAGTTTGGAAAATCTAAAAGTGCACGCCTCATAATCTCATTTTTCACAATACAATTAATTAAAATAAAATATAAAAAGCAAAATAATAAAAAACAGAAAACTCTGCTATGGCTTAGTGGCGGCATAATTCTAAAATGAGGAAAAAAAATATTATAATAAAATGTATAGATAGATATACAAAAAAATATACAGTCATATATTAGTTTTTATTTACTTGTTAATATTTTAATGTTATTATTTACTATGTTAAACAAAATAATTGTTATTGAAATATATTTTCTCTGCCTGAAAAATTATTTTACTTGACATAAGTACACTCAGATTAACCGGTAAGTGCGATATAAATAAAAAAAAATCAATTTCAGTTTCGAAAAAATTGCTTTTTTTGAAATGTCGAGAGTAGACCACTACCTCAACGCTTCACTTATGAGGCATGCAAAATTAAAATACGTTTTTACGTAAATTTAATAGAGCGACTTTATTACTTATATATCTGGAGTAAAGAGCATTGCGAGTCCTCTTAAAAGAACTTAATAAATGATACTAGGTTTTGCTCTTATTTCGGTAGAGCACCATGTCACTCTGACCCCTAAAGTCCAAGTAGAGGTTGACTGTATACTATACACACAAAACTATCTGAAATAATGTATCTTGTTTCCGTCATTTGAGTTTTTCTCTCGAAACAACTATCGATTTTATAAAAACGTGAGAACTGCTATTTGTCAATGTCACGTAAACGTGACTAAACATCACCGTATGTCCATGTAAATTTTACCAATCTGTTATATATCAGATTTCTCTATACAACTTTCAACTATACTATTACTATTACTATTATATAAACATATATAAATGTATTGGTATACTATACATGCTAACATGTTTACACACATGTTGATAAATCACCTTTAAATTCTACCATGACAATCAGAATAGTAACAATAATAACAGCAGCAGTAATAATAAATACAACCCGTTACTCGTTGCTCATTACTCACGTCTCATAATCATTATCATTACTAATGTGATGTTATAGATATAAATTATTATATACCTACTATTTAATACAAACATGGATGGCAAACAAAACTCCGACGGAATTAAATTATGACAAATAATACGCAGCAGTAATTAGTTTTAATATACGCGACAGAAAATTTTATATAAAATTATTATCGATGTTGTAATTAGCAATTTGTTTAAATTTACATTTTTTGGAGATACTTTTTTGGGACTTTTAGGTAAAATAATACAAACACTTAAACAAAAATATTATACATATGTGGAATGGTCATTTTTAGATTTAAGTTTCTCTATTTTATTGTTTTATTGCACCTTTGTACTTAGCAGTAAGTATTTTTCCGAAAAGGTTGTAAATAAAGGGATTAAGAAAAATTCCGAAATAACAGATGTTTAGTTAAGATAGTTTAGAAAATATTCGTATGCGTGGGAACGTAAGTATAGATTTGTCTCGTGGCAAAAATGTACATTATAAGTATACCGAGAGTGTAAGAACGAAGTATGACTGATGCGAGGGTGAGAAACCCAGGTAGTAAGTAAGATCTAATTGTATGGGACTCGAAGAGGCAGTTCCTACTTAATTAACTTCGATGTACAACAGACCTCTGTCTTTTAACTCTGTCAATTTTTCTAATAAATACTCACTTTAAATTAACCGCCCCGTGATACCTTAATAATAACATCTTTAATAAATATTTAGTATCCTATCCAATAAAATCCGATACTACACATATAATAAATATCAAATTGATTTTGTAAAAATATGTTCTTGAAATAAAAACAATCCAACGCCATCTTTAATGCATAATTTCTGTTAATTTTGCGGATTATTTGTGTTACTTTGTAACGCATCAATACACAGAAAAAAAAGATTTCTTAAACCAAGAAAATTATAAGGAATACCGAAGTTATTTTGGAGCAAGAAGAAATTTTCTCGGCCTAAAAAAAATTTAACTTCATTCAAGAAATTTTCAGTTTTCCTTAAGATTTTCTTGATTTAAGAAAATTTAAGCTTAACTCAAGACTTTTTTTCTTTCTGTGTACTGTTTCTATAAGATAAACATTTAAAAAGTGTAATTTTTGCCTCTGAATGATCGGGAGAGCTTTTAACACAAATTTTGTGGTGATTTAAGAGTACCATTTTCAAAGTATTGCTTTGGTATCAAAAATCATTTTTTGTTAATAAATAAATTAGGCAAACAATTGTTGACACATTTATACAGACGAAAAATTTTTAACAATATGTATAAGATTAGTTATTTAAAGTTAAAAATAAATCTAAAATAAAGTTAAATTGTTTTGTTACTTTATTGGACAGGTTGCGCAGCCAAAAGTGGGAACGTTGGTTCGGTGATAGAGCATCATCCATCTTCCTACTGGGAACAACCCTTCAGTCAGCCTTACTTTGACAACACGACTAAGAGAGAAACGACGACGACAGTCGGGCAATCTGCTTACTTATATTGCAGAGTTCGCAATCTTGGAGATCGCGCTGTAAGTTTTTTTTAAATCTCCTATTTAGGTTACGCTGTTACGCTTTTTTATCATGTTTAATGTACGAACAATGTTTAATGATACATTGAAGATAAGGGTATTAAATTTTTTACGTTTAAATTGAATGTCTGACACAGGTTTCGTGGATCCGGAAACGAGATCTTCATATTCTGACAGTGGGAATTTTGACGTACACTAATGACCAAAGGTTTCAAGCGATGCACAGTGATGGAAGTGATGAATGGACACTTAAGATAACATCTCCCCAAGTACGTGACAGCGGGACATACGAATGTCAAGTTTCAACAGAACCAAAAATAAGTCAAGCTTATAAATTGAATGTCGTCGGTTAGTATCTATATATATTTCTTCCGTTATCTATAGTACAATTATTCTTTTTTTGAGTCGTTTTGTTTTATCAAAATTATTATTATTATTAACTAGCAATTCGATCAATATCTTCTAATTAATTTAAATCAAATTAACTCGCTATATAAATTGTCATTTTATTGATATTTTCGGGAAAATACCTCGACAGAATCTCGCATTTAATCGAATTGTGATAACCTAATTAAATTATATGAAATTAATTCAAGTTAAATAAGAAATAAAGATATTATTTAAGTTAAACAGTCAATTAGGAATAATTAATGAAAATTAATTGAAAGGTTAAATTGACATCTTAATTGGCCAATAATTTATAATTAGAGACAATATCATAAAGTTTTAATTTGTTTTTGAATTCTTCTAAATTTAAAACCAGAAAAAATATTCTTTTTAATTTTTTATAACAATATAATTTGATTTTGATCAAATTTGTAATCAGTACAATTTTTTAAATGCAAAATACAATTTTGAAAAGGACTATTCAAAATATCTAAAATTATTATTTTTAAACTTTAAAAATTTTTCAAAATCAGTAAAATTAATCCATTAAATTTGACATTTTTCTTTTAATTATTAGCTACTAAAAGCTTTAGATTTGAAAATAATCTTAAAGCTTAAATACACTGAGAGAAAAAAATTCATTTGTTGCAATAAAATTTGTTAAATTCCCAATTTTTAACAAATGGCTGTTTTAAGAATACACTTAAAAATTTTAAAAACTTTAAAATTCATCGCGTTTTCACGACTCAGTACACTAGTGACACTTGCTAGTTAGCTTACAATTTACAGACCAAATTCCATTAACACAAGCTGTATTCTTTGTATCTTTGCTCCAGTGAAAACTCTTTTGTAATTACCTCCGTCTGATCGAGCATCCAATCGTTTGACTGTACACAAATTTACCTATGGATTACCCAGGCTTTTGACAATCATTACAATTATAGAACAGCACAGTGACAAAGAAAAAAAGGTCTCTGTTTGCTTGATTAATTTTTTAAAGACAAAATATTAATGAAGCTTAATAACAAACTTAATTATCGTCGTTATTTAAGAATATATCATAAAAAAATTCCGCTAATTAATTATTAATGTTTAAAATTCAATAACTCGGAATTATTGCTTAAATTTATCCTTTAATTAATTTTATCGGCCATTAATTATGAAGAACATTAAATAATAAATGAGAATTACTTTTATTAATACTTAATGCTCACAGTAAGTCTTCTTAAATAGCTTGGAAATTCGTAACCCAGATCAACACGAATTTGTTTTCGTAGCATTTTATTGCACTTACTTCAAGTAAGAATTAATGATTCAGACTAACAAAAAAAAATAAAAAATAAAAACTATTTTTATTAAAATATAAATTAGTTCAAAAAATTTTCTTTATAAAAAAAAAAATAAATTAATAAACAAATTGAATTGAAATTTAAAAGGAAAAAATCAAAAGTCTAAAAAAATTTTATCTTTGAAATAATTTTACTAAAAGTTCAACGCATACTTGTTAAATATAAAAGCTCTTTAACTTTCAAGTTACAGCTATCAAAAATTTTACGTCGCGCATGTAACTACCGGTGCGTGATACTTTTTATAACACAAAGTATTTTCTTTAATAATTTTCAACTGTATATGCACTTAAATTATTTTGCACACCTCAAACGCGGAGCCGCTGAGTGTGCCTGTAACTTTGCTAAATTTGTTGAGTAATTTTTTTTAGCAATGGGATTTAATAAATTTTCCACTTACTTCAATACGATACTCTGAGTTAGTATAAAGCTCTAGTAGTTTTAATAATAAATGTTGAAGAAAGGATAAAAATTATTTGCGACAACGGGAAGATCGATTTATAAAAGTTTAAGGATTCCACGTACAGAACATTACTTGCGCAACTTACAACACCTTGTCACAGTAATTTTTTCTTTATGGGACAAATATTTCAATAAGAGGGATATTAAAATGGATTTAGAGTTTGAAATGAAGATCTAACGGACGTTACGGATAATTTAGATAAGATCAAGGTTAATTATTGCCTCGGTAAATTAATTGACCCTGTATTTCACGAGAAAATTACACCATTAGAGAATAAATGTCTTTTGATAAAAAAAATTTTATAAAAACTCTGGTCTAATGGTTGGTAATTAACAATTAATATTTATTAACTATTTAGTGTAACGATCAGCCGGATCATTACACACTGAGTGATAAATTTTAAGACATTGTTTTGAAATTAATTTGCACACAAAAATTAATATTTTATTTTTTTATATATTTTTTCGTTTTTAATCAATAGGTACACGAAATTTTTCATCAAGAATTATTGCAAATAAATTAGTTGTTTGATTCATCAATTGGTTCATAATTTTCAAAATATTTCATTACCAAGGTTTAATTTAATCACAGTTACGTGCAATCTATTATAAACATAAATTCCATAAGAGAAAAGAGATTTATTAAATTTGATATTGGGCGTTCAGTGCGCTCTATGTTTATTAAAGTAGATAGGAATGTTTATTAAATATTTTCAAACGGTGCTTTGACTGAAACAAGCTACTAAAAAAAAATGTGCCGTTCCAATTTTTTTTTTTTTTTTTTTTTTTTTTTTTATCAATTACATATTAACCAAACTGTTTCAAGTTGCGATTTTCAAAAAAGGTTTTTGTACTAACAAAGAAAAAAAAAGGTTATGAAGGGGCGTAATTTAAAAGTTATTGCATTTATGAAGTTTTGTACGACTTTGCGGAAAGTAAAGCCTAAACTGGTCTTTGATAGTAGTAGCAAAGACCCCGTATCAGTGTTCTCCAAATAAGAAAAAAAAAAAAAAAAAAAAAAAAAAAAATTAACAAACTATAACTAAAATTTTTTTGAATGTAGCAATAACATATTTCAAACTTTAATGTTTTTGCAGTGTCAAAAGCAAAAATAGCTGGAAATTCGGAACTATATATCAAGAGTGGAAGTGATATAAATCTTACTTGCATCGTACTACAGACACCTGAACCGCCGTCTTTCATCTACTGGTAACTTTTTTACTTTTTTATACTTACTGTTTATTTTTTTTTTTTTTATTTATTCACTTTATTATCGTACCTCCTGTATCACAGTGTCGTGTGTCATGTTCAATCGTTAGACAACAGTGTCATTTGTGGTTTTAATTGAACTATTTTTAATGATTGAAATTGCAATAAATAGAAATAGATACTATACGGATTTAAAATAAAAATTATTAGTTTATTGCATTAAACACTTACAAATAAGGTACACAGTATAAAATTGCATTAGGAATATTATATAAAATAAAATAAATTTTCATTTAAAATAATATCTTGAATAAAATGTAAATAGTTAAAAAAAATATTTTTTATTTTTATTGAAAATATTTTAATCGTTATTTTAATTTATAATAAAAATTATGTGTCTAATATTGAATTTATGATAAAAGTTCTTATTAAATTTGTCGTAATTATTATTAATGAGATGGAATTTGAATTTTAAAGTAAAAATATAAAATATAAATTATAATAAGAAAAATATTATAAAATCAGAAAAATTATTTAGAAACTTTTTTTTCGAGAATTAAAATTTTTAAATCAAAATTTAAACTCCAAATAGAAAAAAAGAAAAATTAAAAAAATAATTTGAATTTGAAATAATAAAAAAAAATACTGAAGATTTTAAAAAAATTGTAGGAATTTTTTTTTCTAAGAAATTGAATCAATTTTATCATATATCTTGTCCTTAAAATATAATCTTAAATTAAAGTTAGAATTTAAAATATTCACTGTGGAATGTAGAAGCTAAAATGATATTTACAAAAATTTTATTTTAAATTTCTCGCTGATAAGATTTTACAACAACATGATTGTGCAAGACTCTTGGGTATCATTTTTATCTACAATGTACAATCTTGTAAAAATAATTAGAATTTGTTTTTTATAAAACTTCTATCAAATTTTAACTTTATAGCGAAGTAATTGTAAATTATTCTCTGGAACAGGATCATACGATTTAATTAACTCTCCATGGTTCCAATATATTTTTTTTATAAAAAAAAAAAAATAATTAGCTCAGGAAAATTGTATAAATTTCCTAGAATATTTTTTGCTAAGCCCACCTTTGTAAGTCCCGACATAAATATTTAGTAGATATCAGTATCATGTATTGACCTATTGACAGGTCAGGGCAAGCGAAGTCAACCTTTCTTGACAGTGATGTTGCATGGATTAGTCTTTTATTACATTATAAATGAAGCTGCCGGACCAAAAGGTGAAAAGTTATCCGTACTGAGATCGAATTACTCCGGCGTAAGCTTCAATTTATATTAATTTTTTGTCAATAACTCGATAGTTATGAAATTAATTATCTATACGATGAGATATTGGATTTAAAGTGACATTAATTACTTAAGGAAAGCTTCTTCTTATATAAGTGTTTGTCTTTTTTAACTTAAAAAAAATTAATTGCAAAAAAAAAAATATTTTTCGACCTGTCTTTTTATATTTAATAGAAAATTGATAGAGTTACCTTAATTTAAATAATTAATTAATTATAATTATTGATATTATATTACATATATGTGTTCATGTTCATATTAGTGAAAAGAGAAATCCGAGACTTAAAACAGCTACTCAATGCTTGCATTGGTCAAATATTACAATTCCCCTGGGAGCAAAATAAACTTTAATATTATTTTAGTGTAAATATCGAGTCATTTACCAACATTGTATTCTCTACCTGACTAATAATTTCTTCAATGCAGATTGTATTTAAAATTACCATTTATTTTATATAATAATAAACAATAAATGTTTATATTTAAAAAATTTTTTGCATTGTATTATAAATTTCCAGGCTTCTAGCAGTAACCAAATTTGACAATATAAAGTAGAATTTAATAATCGTAACTCGCAAAAGTAATTTTTTCCTTTGAAAAAAAAGTAATGGAAATATTATATCAAAAGGTGACTTTATTGCAAATTCAACATAAAATAATTTCTGAGCAGTTGGTAAAATTTATTGCCAGAAAAAGTAATATGTCCTTTTCCTTTCTCAGTACATTACATGACACTTGGCAATTTATTTGGAGAAGAAAAGTCAGTTTTTCTCTTGTAGGTGCTTAAAAACGGAGCCAAATGTTATATAATTTGAAAACAAGTATCACTTTGTGAATTAAAGGTACAGAGGTGAGCATGTGATAAACTACAGCCAACGAGGAGGAATCAGTGTCGTGACGGAGAAACAGACCAGGACATCGCGTCTGTTGATTTCTCGGGCACTCCCAACAGATTCCGGCAATTACACCTGCGCTCCGTCTACAGCAGAGTCAGCCAGTGTCCTAGTACACGTACTTAATGGTAGGTGAATTCCCAAGCTATTCGTTTTCATCTCTCGATTTCTCGTCTACCGTCTCTCGACGAGTCGTTGATTTTCATTAGATCCTTTTGCGCAACCCTCTCTCATCCTCATCCTCATCTTTTCCCTTTCCTCCATTTAATTATCTTGCTCATGTAATTTATCGTTTGTTTCGGTACTGAGACATAACTAACCCAATAAACTACGACTGATACCTGTCTGATATTGTAATTATCTAAGTTTAACTTTTGTTTTATTATACTGTCTAACGGGGTTGTAAATCATTACTCTTTATTTTATGCGGTTCCGCGGATTTCGTCTATTTTAATAAATAAAGATTAACCATTATTTATTTTTTTATTAAACTAATAAGTAAAAAATTTATTTTTTAATTTTTGTAAAAATGCAAGACAAAAATTAAAACAAATTCTTTTGCTTTCATAAATTTATTTTGAAAAATGTAAAAAAACTTGGGCTATTTTCTATTAAAAATTGTGATTGTTTATAAAAACGTAAAAATTTTGAATATTCTCGTGGATACAAGGGTGAATAAAAATGGAATTATGAAAATATAATTACAGAGCAATGATTTTTGATTGTTAGTTTTTATTGAAAAATTTTGGCGGCTGAATTCGCTCACACGGTTTGTTTATAAAAACTACAGTAGGCTTGTTCAACTCCTCTGAATTTTAGTTTATGAAAAATTCTAACCTCGGCATTTTTTCCCTGCTCATTTTGCCCCAGTTTTATATTAAACATACCGTACATACCGATTCCATCATTTGAAGTATTTGATTAAAATTAAATAACACAGATTTAAAAAATTGAATGACCAAAAAAAAAGTAACGAAAGCAGATTGACGGAAATGAGAGGGTGACATATTTACTCCGAGAAAAAAATTTATACTTTTTAAAGGCTGTACTCGGGTGGAAACAACAATCAATCCAAGTATTTAAAAAATCTCTCTCAAGCTTGACGGCCGTACATTAAATGCTTTTAGCGACTATTATGTCGGAAATAATCCCTTAGAGAGCAAAGACTAAAACTTCAGACCAAACCAAATTCCAAATTTTTGTTTCGACTTGAAGGTTTAAATATTTATCGTTTTTCCGGTAACTCTTGATTGTTAATTAAATTATCAAACTATGAGGGAGTTTAAATTTATTCAAAAGTTCGATTAATGTCAAGCAGATGTACGAATAATCAAATACAAAATTGTTGTTAAATTCATTCTGCCGTATTTATTATTCAAGAATTACAAACACAATTACTTTACATTTGTATTGAAAATGTAATCAACAACGAACTTTATTTCATCAAATAAATTCCTCAGCTTCAATACCAGGTCCCATTTTGCCCCGGTTACCATAGAAATAATAATGTAATAATTTATTCGTGAAACGAAATAATTATAACTTAATAAAAGTAATTATTAAAAGGAATTTGTCATTCCCATTTTCAATATTAAATTACAATAACTCGTACTCGATATGATACATTTAATTACCCAAAGCATTCAAATATACATTTTAATAAAATATTATAAAATCAGGATGTCATCTCGAATTGAGTAAAATTTTCCATATAGAATCCACAATTATTATCTACAAATTATCATAATTATTATTAATACAAGTATCATCCATTTGATTTAACATTTAAAAATATATGTCATATATTACAGATTTTTAATTATAATGACGGATAGTTCAGTTATTACAATTTATAATTTTCAATAATATAATTATTATTAATACAAGTATTATTCATTTGTATTAAAAACGTAGTCAATAAAGAATTTCATTTCATATAAAGTAATGTCTGAACACAAAGGGCACATCCCAGTTGGATTAAATATTTTCGAGCATTTAAAAAATCCCAGTAAAATATTAAATCCTCTTTTAGTTGCATTTATTTTTCAACTAAAAATTTACAATATTAATAGCAACGTAAAATAAAATATTTAGATTAACAAAACATGAAATGAAAAATATCATATTATTAATTAACTGCTTTGCAAAAATACAACTGCGTATTTATTTTCGCTAAAACGAATAAAATATTAGAAAGAAATGTTATTAAAATAACAATAATTATAACATGCCCTATGAACTCAAATTGATGGAGTTGAAGCTTCAATATTTTTATTTATTATTTATATTGTGCATTCGAACTATAAAACAAAGCCATTTACGTCCATACATTTTAAAAGCAAGAGAACATACATAAAATATTATTGTTTTTAATATTTTATCGGTGTGTGTGCACTAGACATGATGGAGACTTTTTAAAGAAAACGATCAGAAGCTTTGTCTAGTATTTTATATATCATCCGTTTTCATGTCACGTTTATAAAGCGAACATCCTCGTCCTTGTTGTCATCTGATGGTTATACATGGTAAACAATATTGTGAAAAATAAAAACAATGCAGATATTGCGACACAAGCAATCTTTTTTTATTTATACGTAATTGTATCTCAGAAAAAAACAAAACAAAAAAATCTTTTATATTTTATATTTTATCCATACACTAAAAATTGAGAGGTAAAAAGCGCCTGAGGTTACAATACAACCTGGGAGATGGACCTTTTTAAAGGCGAGGAAGTATTTGATCCAATTTGGTTAACGAGAAAATTCAAAACTTTCTTCTATAGCGTACAATATAAGGTCACGTATAACCGATTTTTATACTCTTTTTATTTAATCAATAAATAAATAAAAAAGAAAGGTCGAAGAAAATAATTGTAATTTTAAATAAGTAATTTTTTAATAAAAATAATATATTTAAAGGCAATTATAAATAAAATTTGACCTGTAAGTGACTAATAATTAATATTATATTTGAAGTAAATTTAGTTATGAGAAATTATTTTATTTTAATAATAAATAAATTAAGTGGAAAAAGTAGAAGTTGGTCAGCCGGCAGCGAAGGCATCGGTAAAAAAGCCGCGGTTACAATGTTTTTATTTAACCTGATTACGTCTATGAGTTTTTTTATTAATATAGTTTTCTCCAGCAGTATTGAAACAATAATTAAGCTAGTGCGCGGTCAGAAATTACTCAAGCTATAGATTTAATTAGACATCTGACGGCTCTCTTGGCATTGTCACCATTTAGATTCATTTAATTATTAACCGATCTACGAAATTTTAAAAACATTTAACTTGTTCTTAGACTGACTTGTGCATTACACACGTTACTATTTAGTCAGTTGTCCCGTTAGGTGGTACGAAAAATCTACGAAAAGCTCAATTGATTTGAATGACTTTATTTTGAAACTCGTTATTAAACTGACACTATTTTTTGTTTATCCTTGCCGGTGACTACGCTCATAAATTATGGTTATTAATTTTATTTTATCTTTTGAAATAACTCAGTCGAGGTTTCGCTGACAACTGTCAACTTCTGTTCTATCTATCTCTGCAACCGTCACAGGAAATGTCATTCAAGTATCAATAAAATGCGTCTCTTAAATGAAAAAAAAAAATATCTCAGCTAATAATTACTGATAATATTGTCGGCCTTAAAAATGACTACAATCATTAATTTTAAAAATAATTTCTTCAATGCAGATATTTAAAATTACACTACAACCTGAAAGTAAATACCGCAAATTTTTCAGACTCTTTCCGATGTACTGAACAAGTGGACATTAAACAACTGAAAAATTTTAATAATACAATTTAATTACTTGAACTTTCCTATGAGTATATTTCAATTTAATCACAATACGATAATGATCACAACTCTTTATTTTTCAGTATTCAATGAAAATATTTACTTTTTGTGTTGAAATTAAAAATATTTACCGAGCATATTTTTAACTCAACAATGGGACGATCCTCCTAATTAATATTTCATTATGCAAATATGCAGTAAAAATATTAACAATGAAAATCAAAATAACTTATAATAATAATTTTAGCGGCACAAAAATAGCTTTTTAAAATCACTGATGCAAACTTTATAAATTCAACATATTTTAAAAATTACCATCTGAAATTTGTGTTTATAGCTATATAATAAACATTGCTACGGAACTTGTTATTTTATTATTTTGTTGCATACAAATTATTTTATAAACTATTACAAACGGTTGATAAACAGCCGAGTTCTATGTAAACGACTTTACACGGAATCAACGAAAAACCCACTGCATCCAATTTGAATAAATTTATTTCATCCATATTAATTCAAAGAGACTTCAAATTACGAGAAAGAACAGCTGGGTCAATTGTTGTCTATGATGTAGTTTTCAATCCTAAAATAAATTAATTCAATCGTAGTTACTTCTTGGCATTCCATTTATTACAAGACGTTTTTTGAATGACTTAAAAATAAATAAATAAAATTTTGCTTTATTATATGATGACTTTTGTTAAATTGCACTGTACTTCCTTAAATATTCACGTTTTTGAAGAAATAAGCTCATTCCGATGTTACACTCATCAAGAGCTTTCATTTGAGTACCCACACGCATTTTGATATATTTTTTATATATTCATATATA